AACAAAAAACAACAAAAACATCAACAACAAAAAAAACAATACAAATCAGCAACAGCAGCAGCAACACATTACAGCAAAAACAGCAACAACAACAACAACAATCAGCAACAACAAAAGCAGCAAACAGCAACAGCAACAATTACTTATTCCCTCGTAATAGAACTTCCATATTGCAACTGATTAGGAAAAGAGATAAAGATATTGGATTAGGAAAGAAAAAAAGAATTATTAGTAAACTATAATTAAATAAAAAAGTATACCTTTAAAGGATGACTAGAATAATTGCAGATGATCTTTGTATCTGTACCAGAGTTCACATTTAGTAGGATTTTTTTCCTTATTAGAAGTTCCCTTCACCACTGGAAGAACATGATCAACAAAAGTGAAAGGCACACTGAGGCAGAACTCATGATCTTGATATATGGTGCATCATAGAGTAAGCAAATCGGTCTAAAACATAAAAGTGGTGATTCATGGTGCAGATTGAAAAACCTGGGAAATTTTGAACATGTAAGTGTTGTGTTGCCTTTCATTAGAGAGCTCTCCACCTCAATACCAAGAACATAACCATGTTAGCAAAACCATGTTCTTTTCAGAAGTTAAATTGGGAAGTTTGATTGAAAACTTTTTAGAGGATCATCTTAAAAGAACAATAAAATTTCTTGAAAAGCTTCATCATTTTTTATAACAAAAATTTAAAGTGGTGATATTAAATAACCTGGACCATAAACAAGTTAAACAAAAGAGACAATGGTTCTTTCTAGTTTTTCTCACTTGTATAAAAACACATACCTCGCTAACAACAGTTAATTCCATGGAGTGCCAGTTGAAAACGTTCAATTCGCTTGACTCCAAGCATCTTCAAAACAATGACATTGTAAGCCATACTTAACACCATGAATTCATTTATATGCATACATAAAAATAATGTAACAGGTCAAGACATTCCATAATCCATACGTTGAGACCTTGTAGAAACCAAGTGAAAAGATTATTGAATTTTACCGATTGAGCAAGTTTGACCTTCGATTGAACAGAACAGGTTTGGCCTTCAAACTAGTCGTCTTCAGTTGAGCCGTATGGACAGAGACGAAGCTTCGATTAAGCCGATGACTGAGAAAGTAGTTGTAGATTGAAGCTTCGTTTGAGCCGATTGAACAGAGATGAGTGACGATTGAACAACCTAGGTTAATCGGTAATGTGAGCAGATGACGATTAAAGCTTCGACTGAACAGATTGAAGCTGTGATTGAAGCTTCGAAATTGATGAGATTGACGACGAGAACAAGAGAGTGTAGTTTAGGGTGTCGGCGTTTTTTTGTAAGAACGAATCACTAAAACCCTAAAAATGACTAAGGCCTAAGTAATCAGGTATAAGTTCTGGAACCGCTTAAGGCAGTTCCAGTTCCAGAACCGGCAGTTCCGAGGCGATTCCGGTTCCGAAAGCGGGTACCCGCTTCCGCTGCTCATCCCTATTTAAAAGTGTAAATTTTAGATATAACCTTTTAAAGAAAACTTATTCCTAAAGTTCGTAACCCATTTTCACTCAAAGATTTTGGTTCATCAATCTTATTAGTTGCATGTTTAAGGTCCCGTTTGATAGTTGCTGGCTGAAAAAGTGCTGACTGAGAAAGGTCTGTCTGAGTAATATATGCTGACTGGGTAAGAAAGCATGTTGTTTGATCGTATATCCGACTGAATATGCTGACCGATGAAAAATTACCATTTTACCCTGCTACACTGAAAACTCTCTTATTAACAAATTAAATTGTAAGGTAAAATACAAATGATTAAAGTGAAATATAATAATCTATTTTATTACATTGTTTTCAAGCAAACAAAAATCATGAAATATAATGATCTATTTTATTACATTGTTTATTTTATTAGAGATTTCATTTTATTTGTCTATCATCTCATATAAACTAATCAAACAAACTTATAATTAAAACAAAAAGAGGACGCCATGTTAGTCTAGTACTTTACAGCCCATAAATGGCCTTGTTTGTATTTGTATAGTTAAAGCCCAATGTAAACCATGGTTGGGGTTAGAAGAATAAACGAAGGAAACCTTATAAAATTTAAAAAGAATACGCATGATATGTATGGAAGGTTGGATCTAGGGTTTGTGAGGCGGCTCAACACCACTGTTGAAGATATGGAAATAGGATACGGTGGAACATGGATAGAACATGGATTGTTCTAACATTCAATCTGTTAACGAGAGCAAGAACGAAAGGGATGTTAACAGAAGAACGAAAGGGAGTCGCCTAAGGGTACGATTGGAAACCTTCATGCCTTTCTCAGTCAACTAAGTGTCCATTTCTTTCCCAATCAGATCTTGTTTTCCGAGTCAGACGCCCAACATTTGTTTATCAAACACCTTCGGCTGACCGACTCAGCCAAAAATGTCTGACCTGACTCGGTCAGACGCATATCAAACAGGGCCTAAGTTGCTCTAAGCCTCTAGCCATCCGTCTTAAGAGGGCTATCTCTAAAGTCATAAGCGATGGCGGAGCCAATAATTTTGATACGAGATACACACATAATCAAAATTAAAATTAGTATCTGAAAAGAGTTTCTTAACATTTAAACTCCTAAATCGAAAAAATATATAATTTAAGCAAAAGTTATAATTGAATTTGTCTGGTCATGTCTTGAAATTGATCAATGATACAATCATCAAGAACTTGTAGAAACATATCATTGTCAATAAAGTGACTAAAAACTCATTTAAAACTTGATCATCTATGTTATTCCGCAACTTATTTTTGACATGTTATTCCAAAAAAAATTCTTTCTGCCCTTATTGTAGTAACCGTAAAAGATATATTTTATATAGTTATTCTATCCAGACATTAAAAACATGGTACAATCTTTTAGCTGGAGGTACAATAACATAGAAATGTTTATATATATATATATATATATATATATATATATATATATATATATATATATATATATATAT